ACTGCCAGGTAGTTCACAAGTCACTACTGCCTGGTAGTTCACAAGTCACTGCTGCCAGGTAGTTCACAGGTCACTACTGCCTGGTAGTTCACAAGTCACTACTGCCTGGTAGTTCACAGGTCACTACTGCCTGGTAGTTCACAAGTCACTACTGCCTGGTAGTTCACAAGTCACTACTGCCAGGTAGTTCACAGGTCACTACTGCCTAGTAGTTCACAAGTCACTACTGCCTGGTAGTTCACAGGTCACTGCTGCCAGGTAGTTCACAGGTCACTGCTGCCTAGTAATTCACAGGTCACTACTGCCTGGTAGTTCACAGGTCACTACTGCCTGGTAGTTCACAGGTCACTGCTGCCTGGTAGTTCACAAGTCACTACTGCCTGGTAGTTCACAAGTCACTGCTGCCTGGTAGTTCACACCTAACAACTCTACTTCGTTTCAGAAACAACTCAAATCTTATATTTATTAAATCGCAAAGTTACTTAGACCCGCTTGAAGAGTGGGAGCGGGACCCGCGCGCCCTCATCCCTCAAGACGAAGAACTCGACACAAGACCAAAATACGTGTATTTGAGCGCCGTAAAATATGAGGTGAACATTGATCGGCGAGACTAGCGAGTGGGTATGAGGTTAGTGTTGGTGTGAGGCATAATGAGAGTGCGTGGTCACTCGCCGCACTCATGCGAGCACCACTGCGGTAGCCTGGCGGTCACGGGGCTGGGGGGACAATGCTGCAATGTGGAGGAGTGCGTGGTAGGGCGGCAGGACGCTGGTTCTCCCCGTGACAGCTGGTTGATGACCAACCACACAGCTGGCCTGCTCCACCTGCTCCACTGGTAGATGACCAGCCACACAGCTGGCCTGCTCCACTGGTTGATGACCAGCCACACAGCTGGCCTGCTCCACCTGCTCCACTGGTTGATGACCAGCCACACAGCTGGCCTGCTCCACCTGCTCCACTGGTTGATGACCAGCCACACAGCTGGCCTGCTCCACTGGTTGATGACCAGCCACACAGCTGGCCTGCTCCACTGGTTGATGACCAGCCACACAGCTGGCCTGCTCCACCTGCTCCACTGGTAGATGACCAGTCACACAGCTGGCCTGCTCCACTGGTTGATGACCAGCCACACAGCTGGCCTGCTCCACCTGCTCCACTGGTTGATGACCAGCCACACAGCTGGCCTGCTCCACCTGCTCCACTGGTTGATGACCAGCCACACAGCTGGCCTGCTCCACCTGCTCCACTGGTTGATGACCAGCCACACAGCTGGCCTGCTCCACCTGCTCCACTGGTTGATGACCAGCCACACAGCTGGCCTGCTCCACTGGTTGATGACCAGCCACACAGCTGGCCTGCTCCACCTGCTCCACTGGTAGATGACCAGCCACACAGCTGGCCTGCTCCACCTGCTCCACTGGTAGATGACCAGCCACACAGCTGGCCTGCTCCACTGGTTGATGACCAGCCACACAGCTGGCCTGCTCCACCTGCTCCACTGGTTGATGACCAGCCACACAGCTGGCCTGCTCCACCTGCTCACTGGTAGATGACCAGCCACACAGCTGGCCTGCTCCACCTGCTCCACTGGTTGATGACCAGCCACACTGCTGGCCTGCTCCACCTGCTCCACTGGTTGATGACCAGCCACACAGCTGGCCTGCTCCACCTGCTCCACTGGTTGATGACCAGCCACACAGCTGGCCTGCTCCACCTGCTCCACTGGTTGATGACCAGCCACACTGCTGGCCTGCTCCACCTGCTCCACTGGTTGATGACCAGCCACACTGCTGGCCTGCTCCACCTGCTCACTGGTTGATGACCAACCACACTGCTGGCCTGCTCCACTGGTTGATGACCAGCCACACTGCTGGCCTGCTCCACCTGCTCACTGGTTGATGACCAGCCACACAGCTGCCCTGCTCCACCTGCTCCACTGGTTGATGACCAGCCACACTGCTGGCCTGCTCCACCTGCTCCACTGGTTGATGACCAGCCACACAGCTGGCCTGCTCCACCTGCTCACTGGTAGATGACCAGCCACACAGCTGGCCTGCTCCACCTGCTCCACTGGTGATGACCAGCCACACCGCTGGCCTGCTCCACCTGCTCCACTGGTTGATGACCAGCCACACTGCTGGCCTGCTCCACCTGCTCCACTGGTTGATGACCAGCCACACTGCTGGCCTGCTCCACCTGCTCCACTGGTTGATGACCAGCCACACTGCTGGCCTGCTCCACCTGCTCCACTGGTTGATGACCAGCCACACAGCTGGCCTGCTCCACCTGCTCACTGGTAGATGACCAGCCACACAGCTGGCCTGCTCCACCTGCTCCACTGGTTGATGACCAGCCACACTGCTGGCCTGCTCCACCTGCTCCACTGGTTGATGACCAGCCACACAGCTGGCCTGCTCCACCTGCTCCACTGGTTGATGACCAGCCACACAGCTGGCCTGCTCCACCTGCTGCACTGGTTGATGACCAGCCACACAGCTGGCCTGCTCCACTGGTAGATGACCAGCCACACAGCTGGCCTGCTCCACCTGCTCCACTGGTAGATGACCAGCCACACAGCTGGCCTGCTCCACTGGTTGATGACCAGCCACACAGCTGGCCTGCTCCACCTGCTCACTGGTTGATGACCAGCCACACAGCTGGCCTGCTCCACCTGCTCACTGGTAGATGACCAGCCACACAGCTGGCCTGCTCCACCTGCTCACTGGTAGATGACCAGCCACACAGCTGGCCTGCTCCACTGGTAGATGACCAGCTACACAGCTGGCCTGCTCCACCTGCTCACTGGTAGATGACCAGCCACACAGCTGGCCTGCTCCACCTGCTCCACTGGTTGATGACCAGCCACACAGCTGGCCTGCTCCACTGGTAGATGACCAGCTACACAGCTGGCCTTTTCCACCTGATCACTGGTAGATGACCAGCCACACAGCTGGTCTGCTCCACCTGCTCCACTGGTTGATGACCAGCCACACAGCTGGCCTGCTCCACCTGCTCCGCTGGTTGATGACCAGCCACACAGCTGCCCTGCTCCACCTGCTCCTCTGGTTGATGACCAGCCACACAGCTGGCCTGCTCCACCTGCTCCACTGGTTGATGACCAGCCACACAGCTGGCCTGCTCCACCTGCTCCACTGGTTGATGACCAGCCACACAGCTGGCCTGCTCCACCTGCTGCACTGGTTGATGACCAGCCACACAGCTGGCCTGCTCCACCTGCTCCACTGGTTGATGACCAGCCACACAGCTGGCCTGCTCCACCTGCTCCACTGGTTGATGACCAGCCACACAGCTGGCCTGCTCCACCTGCTGCACTGGTTGATGACCAGCCACACAGCTGGCCTGCTCCACCTGCTCCACTGGTTGATGACCAGCCACACAGCTGGCCTGCTCCACCTGCTGCACTGGTTGATGACCAGCCACACAGCTGGCCTGCTCCACCTGCTCCACTGGTTGATGACCAGCCACACAGCTGGCCTGCTCCACCTGCTGCACTGGTTGATGACCAGCCACACAGCTGGCCTGCTCCACCTGCTCCACTGGTTGATGACCAGCCACACAGCTGGCCTGCTCCACCTGCTGCACTGGTTGATGACCAGCCACACAGCTGCCCTGCTCCACCTGCTCCACTGGTTGATGACCAGCCACACAGCTGGTCTGCTCCACTGGTTGATGACCAGCCACACAGCTTCCCTGTCCCCCAGTTCTCCCCACAATTTACCCGTCCCCCATCCCCTCGTCCTCCCCACCATCCCCCCACTCCTGTCCCCCTCGTCCTCCCCACCATCTCCCCACTCCTGTCCCCCTCATCCTCCCCACCATTCCCCACTCCCTCGTCCTATGCATTCCCAAATTATCTGATGTTCCCATCAGAAAATTCATAACATTAAATGATCCGATATTCCCATCACTGAAATATAAGAAAAACAGTTAAAAATCGAAATGAAAAACCAATGAAAAAAATAAAAAAATAAACTATACTCACGAAATTAACGAAATGGTAAACAAAACAACTCAATTTCAACACAATGTCACACAAAATAATTATGACTGAGGCTCATGTGGCACTGTATGAAAAGCTTTGCTAAAGTCAAGGTACACAACATCACAATCCTTACCACTATCAACTGCCTCAACTATGCTTGAGTAAAATTATAACAAATTTATTAAACGTGAACGGCCATTTGTAAAACCATGTTGCGACTCATTTATTAATTTATGTTTTTCAAGATGAAAACAAATGGTATTCGCAGATATCGATTCAAGTAACTTTCCCACAATAGACGTTAGGCTAATTGGCCGATAGTTTGACGCAAGTGATCTATCTCCTTTCTTAAAAATTGGTACCACATTAGCAACCTTCCACGACTCTGGCACTCTGCCTGACTCTATTGATTTATTAAATATGGTAGACAATGGATCGCAAAGCTCCTCTTTGCATTCTTTAGGCACCCTGGCAAACACTTTGTTACAATTATTTGACCATGTCGTAGTGTTGTCCTCTAGAGCGTACCTGCGACCACCGAGCGCATAGGTTTGAGCCCTCATCAAGGCTCCTGTTGGATTTGTTCATTATTATTATTACTATTATTATTATTATTATGCTGTAAATACAGAATTATAAATAGTTTAATAATATATACAGTATATGAGGTTTAAATATCGACGTTGTTCCACAATATACATAAGGAATGATCAGATGTTAATTACAACAGTTAAATAACCAGTAATGCAAGGAACTGCAGAATATTTCGAATGTGGAAATTAATTAAATATTTGGATTACTGCACTAGTTATATAAACAATGTAAAATATACATACAAGGAAAATATTACTTTATTTGAAAATTATGCACAATTTGGGGTTATTATAATAAAACCTTATATTAAGCAGTAATATTACGACAAATTAACAGTTTGGGACCAACATAATAAGAGTAACTTAGCTCGATGGTTCGAGGATAATTGTAGAGCTGTGTGTGATTACTTGGTGGACGCTGACTCCCCTTGTGGCTTGGTGGACGCTGACTCCCCTTGTGGCTTGGTGGACGCTGACTCCCCTTGTGGCTTGGTGGACGCTGACTCCCCTTGTGGCTTGGTGGACGCTGGCACCCCTTGTGGCTTGGTGGACGCTGACTCCCCTTGTGGCTTGGTGGACGCTGACTCCCCTTGTGGCTTGGTGGACGCTGACTCCCCTTGTGGCTTGGTGGACGCTGACTCCCCTTGTAGCTTGGTGGACGCTGACTCCCCTTGTGGCTTGGTGGACGCTGGCACCCCTTGTGGCTTGGTGGACGCTGACTCCCCTTGTGGCTTGGTGGACGCTGACTCCCCTTGTGGCTTGGTGGACGCTGACTCCCCTTGTGGCTTGGTGGACGCTGACTCCCCTTGTAGCTTGGTGGACGCTGACTCCCCTTGTGGCTTGGTGGACGCTGATTCCCCTTGTGGCTTGGTGGACGCTGATTCCCCTTGTGGCTTGGTGGACGCTGACTCCCCTTGTGGCTTGGTGGACGCTGATTCCCCTTGTGGCTTGGTGGACGCTGACTCCCCTTGTGGCTTGGTGGACGCTGACTCCCCTTGTGGCTTGGTGGACGCTGACTCCCCTTGTGGCTTGGTGGACGCTGACTCCCCTTGTGGCTTGCAGCTTCATTATAAATTTTCTGGTAACTGTTGGGCTCTTGATTGTTTCTTTTTATTTCTGGCACTACTGTCCGGGGTTCATGTCATGATGGCATAAACCGCTCCCCCGAGTGTATGTTTGTCCAGGCTGCGTCAGTCCCTGCTTCTCCAGGCTGCGTCAGTCCCTGCTTCTCCAGGCTGCGTCAGTCCCTGCTTTTCCAGGCTGCGTCAGTCCCTGCTTCTCCAGGCTGCGTCAGTCCCTGCTTCTCCAGGCTGCGTCAGTCCCTGCTTCTCCAGGCTGCGTCAGTCCCTGCTTCTCCAGGCTGCGTCAGTCCCTGCTTCTCCAGGCTGCGTCAGTCCCTGCTTCTCCAGGCTGTGTTAATTCCTGCTGGTCCAGTGTGTTTCTGTTCGTTTTCTTGTTATTTGGAGATATGATGAAGGCCCTTACTTGGGATTGTAGAGAAAACACTTACATTCTGTATTGAGCCTTTATTGGGTGAGGCAATAGAAGACCCAGCACAACAGAGGTCCGACCTGCTCTGATTTGGGAAATTAACATGGAAGAAGACTCACTATCACTTCAAGTTTATCTAAATAGGGTTTTCAAATGGTCAGAAGTTTGGCAGATGCAGTTTAATTCTGATAAATGTAAAGTTCTGAGGCTAGGTAATGATGATAGAGGTACAAGATACGAGCTAGATGGTGTTGAGATTGCGAAGTCGGATTGCGGAAGGGATCTGGGAGTTATGATTAGTAAGAATTTAAAACCAAAGGATCAGTGCATAAATGTTCGTAATAAGGCAAATAGGACACTGGGATTTATTAATCGAAGCGTTAGTAACAAGACACCTGGTGTGGTTCTCAAGCTATATCTTGCTCTGGTTAGGCCCCATTTAGATTATGCAGTTCAGTTTTGGTTGCTTTACTATAGAATGGATATAAGAACATAAGAACAAAGGTAACTGCAGAAGGCCTATTGGACCATACGAGGCAGCTCCTATCTATAACCACCCAATCCCACTCATATACATGTCCAACCTACGCTTAAACAATCGAGGGACCCCACCTCCACCACGTTACGTGGTGATTGGTTCAACAAATCAACAACCCTGCTACCGAACCAGTATTTACCCAAGTAATTACTAAATATAAACTTATCCAATTTATATCCATTGTTTCGTGTTCTGTGTTGTGTTGATACTTTTATTATCCCCCTTTGTTATGTCCAGTAATCCACTTGTAAACCTCTATCATGTCACCCTTAGCTCTTCGCCTTTCCAGTGAATGCAATTTAAGCTTTGTTAATCTTTCTTCATATGAAAGATTTCTAATTTGGGGAATGAACTTTGTCATCCTCAAAGAGGGACTCAAAACTGAGCCACACACAGAAACTATTTGAATAGAATTAAACGAAAAAACAAATAATATTATAATAGGAGTTATATATAGACCACCAAATTTAGACAGAATGGAAGCAAAGCATCTATGGGATGAAATATCTAGAGCATCTAGATCTAACAGTATTTATGTCATGGGTGACTTTAATTTTAGTGGAATAAACTGGGTGAACAAAACAGGGAATAATGAAGCAGAAGATTTTCTAGAATTAATTGACGATTGCTTTCCTACGCAACACATTAAGGAACCAATGCGGGAAAATAATATTTTAAATTTAGTGTTAACTAACAGGGAAACACAAATTAATGACATCGAAATAGGGAGTGAGCTAGGGAGCAGTGATCACAAAGAAATCAGATTTAGCATAGAATGGAATAGATCTGTAGGAGAAAATTCTGTTAAAGTGCCAGATTTTCGAAAAGCTGATTTCAATAGCCTAAGAAATTTTTTGGGTCAAATAGATTGGAAAGTCTTGGGTATGGGGTGTGGGCCGGTCTTGGAGCTAGACGTTAACCCAGCGATAGGTGACGTAAAAGGGGTTTTCGATGTGGATTCAAAATATAACGTATTTAAAAATATTTTAACCAAAGCCCAGGAATGTAGTATACCATATAAATTGAATAGATCGAATACTAGTGATCCAAAGTGGATAACAAAGGATCTGAAGAACCTTATAGGTAAAAAGAGAGCTTGGTACAAAAGGATTAAGAATGGGGAAGTCTGTTTAGAACAGGAATTCGTACAACTGGTTAGAAGTGTTAAAAAAGAGATAAGGAAAGCAAAAAGAAACTATGAAGTTCGCATAGCAGAGCAAGCAAAGACAAATCCTAAAGGGTTTTTCCAGTTATACCGGACAAAGATTAGGGAAAGGATAGGTTCATTAAAAACTGAGACAGGTCAAATAACAGATAGTGATGAAGAGATGAGTAGCATTTTTAATAAATATTTTGTATCTGTATTTACTAAAGAGGAACTTAACAATATGCCTTCAGCCGAACAAGTCTATGTGGGTGGGAACGAGGACAGGTTGACGAGTTTAGCAGTTACCAGGGAGGATGTTCTTAAACAAATAATAAAACTCAAACCAAACAAATCCCCAGGGCCGGATGAAGTGTTTGCCAGGGTGCTTAAAGAATGCAAAGAGGAGCTTTGCGACCCACTGTCTACCATATTTAATGACACTAAAGAACTTTTTTAGTGTCAGAGTGGTTGACAAATGGAATGCATTAGGCAGTGATGTGGTGGAGGCTGACTCCATACACAGTTTCAAATGTAGATATGATAGAGCCCAATAGGCTCAGGAATCTGTACACCTGTTGATTGACGTTGAGAGGCGGGACCAAAGAGCCAGAGCTCAACCCCCGCAAGCACAACTAGGTGAGTACACACACACACACACACACACCCGTCACATGCTCTCTGGCTACACACACACACACACACACACACACACACACACACACACACACACACACACACACACACACACACCTGTCACATGCTCCCTGGCTACATACACACACCCGTCACATGCTCTCTGGCTACACACACACACACACACACACACACACACACACACACATCCGTCACATGCTTCCTGGCTACACACACACATATATATATATGTCGTACCTAGTAGCCAGAACGCACTTCTCAGCCTACTATGCAAGGTCCGATTTGCCTAATAAGCCAAGTTTTCAAGAATTAATATATTTTCTCAAATTTTTTTCTTATGAAATGATAAAGCTACCCATTTCATTATATATGAGGTCAATTTTTTTTATTGGAGTTAAAATTAATGTAGATATATGACTGAACCTAACCAACCCTACCTAACCTAACCTAACCTATCTTTATACGTTAGGTTAGGTTAGGTAGCCGAAAAAGTTAGGTTAGGTTAGGTTAGGTAGGTTAGGTAGTCGAAAAACAATTAATTCATGAAAACTTGGCTTATTAGGCAAATCGGACCTTGCATAGTAGGCTGAGAAGTGTGTTCTGGCTACTAGGTACGACATATATATACCACCCCGGATACCATTCTGGAGGATGTAAGGAAAATCCAGGAGCAAGGAGCAGCCTTGGGCCTCATTCTCAATGCATCCAAATGCGAAATAGTCTCCCGCAACCCAGACATCACTGGCAAAATAAAAAAATTCTTCCACACCATTCTTGTTGTCGAGCCACGTGACTGCACCCTCCTGGGTGCCCCAATTGGCCCACAAGCAATCGAGGAGGTCCTGGATGCAAAAATTACTGATCTAAAGAGAATGCTGGACAGGATTGACAAGACTGATGCCCATGATGCTCTCTTCCTCCTCACAAGATGCCTGTCTCTCATTAAGTTGACTTACTTTCTTTCTGAGCTGCTTTCCATCCTACAACAGCCCTAAATGAAACGTGTATGACACCCTTCTGAGGTCTTGCTGGTGAAAGTCCTGCACCTGCCATTGGACGACTCGCAGTGGGAGCAAGCAACCCTCCTTGTAAGACTCGGCGGCTTTGGCGTCCGCACAGCCTCCCAGATTGCTCTTCCAGCCTTCCTTTCCTCCTTCCATGCATCGCACGACCTCGTAAAAGATATTCTACATGAATCCCTGAGTGATTCAGCAGGAATACACGTTCCTGCTTTCAATGAATGTTCACATCACTGGGATGCTCTTGCAGCCCCAGCACCGATCATAGAGCCAACCATAAAACATAAACAGTCAAGCTGGGACAACCTGCTGGAGGGAAAAAATGCTGATGCCATGCTCAGCGCCACAACATCAGACAAGGAGAAAGCCCGCCTCTGAGCAGTGCGTGCCCCCCCCCCCCTTCCATGGAGACTGGAAGGTTGCTGCTGGTGGGTCACTGGATGGTTGCTGCTGGTGGATCACTGGATGGTTGCTGCTGGTGGGTCACTGGATAGTTGTTGCTGGTGGATCACTTGGATGGTTGCTGCTGGTGGGTCACTGGATGGTTGCTGCTGGTGGGTCACTGGATGGTTGCTGCTGGTGGGGCTGCTGCTGGTGGATGGTTGCTGCTGGTGGGTCACTGGATGGTTGCTGATGGTGGGTCACTGGATGGGTGCTGCTGGTGGGTCACTGGATGGTTGCTGCTGGTCGGTCACTGGTTGGTCGCTGCTGGTGGGTCACGGTATGGTTGCTGCTGGTCGGTCACTGGTTGGTCGCTGCTGGGGGGTCTCTGGATGGTTGCTGCTGGGGGGTCACTGGTTGGTCGCTGCTGGGGGGTCTCTGGATGGTTGCTGCTGGGGGGTCACTGGATAGTTGCTGCTGGGGGGTCTCTGGATGGTTGCTGCAGGGGATCTCTGGATGGTTGATGCTGGTGGGTCACTGGAAGGCTGCTGCTGGTGGGTCACTGGATGGTTGCTGCTGGTGGGTCATTGGAATTTTGCTGCTGGTGGGTCACTGGATGGTTGCTTCTTGTGGGTCACTGGATGGTTGCTGTTGGTGGGTCACTGGAAGGTTGCTGCTGGTGGGTCACTGGATGTATGCTGCTGGTGGGTCATTGGAATTTTGCTGTTGGAGGGTCACTGGAAGGTTGCTGCTGGTGGGTCACTGGGTGGTTGCTGCTGGTGGGTAACTGGATGGTTGCTGCTGGTGGGTCACGGGATTGCTGCTGCTGGTGGGTCAGTGGAAGGTCGCTGCTAGTGGGTCACTAATGGTTGCTGATGGTGGGTCACTGGATGGTTGCTGCTGGTGGGCCACTGGAAGGTTCCTATTGGTGGGTCACTGGATGGTTTCTGCTGATGGGTCACTGGAAGGTTGCTGCTGGTGGTTCACTGGAAGATTCCTAATGATGGGTACCAGGTAATTTGCTTCTGGTAAAACATTTTCAAATTTTCCCCACCCAACTGTGCACATTTATATGACAAAATCATATTGTTGACTTCCTCTTCCATAAATGACATAATTTTCACAATAAGCAAGATACAAATAGTCTCTGATGACAAGCGAGGAATAAAATAAAGAGTTTAAGTCCGAGATTAAAAAAAACAAAAGAGGATGTACGTAGACAAAGCCGATAATGAAAGCCATTAAGTGCAAGAAGGCGCGTGTTGCAGAGGAATGTAGCCTCTTGTAGCGGTGAGTGAAATGTCGGGGAGTCTGCAACATAATATCGCTGCTCAATTGATTACCAGAGCCGCGACACGAATATAAACACACGCGGGCTGCGTCTGGGGAGTTCCTTGGGGCTCGGGGCTGCGTCTGGGGAGTTCCTTGGGGCTCGGGGCTGCGTCTGGGGAGTTCCTTGGGGCTCGGGGCTGCATCTGGGGAGTTCCTTGGGGCTCGGGGCTGCGTCTGGGGAGTTCCTTGGGGCTCGGGGCTGCGTCTGGGGAGTTCCTTGGGGCTCGGGGCTGCGTCTGGGGAGTTCCTTGGGGCTCGGGGCTGCGTCTGGGGAGTTCCTTGGGGCTCGGGGCTGCATCTGGGGAGTTCCTTGGGGCTCGGGGCTGCGTCTGGGGAGTTGCTTGGGGCTCGGGGCTGCGTCTGGGGAGTTGCTTGGGGCTCGGGGCTGCGTCTGGGGAGTTCCTTGGGGCTCGGGGCTGCGTCTGGGGAGTTCCTTGGGGCTCGGGGCAGTGTCTGGGGAGTTCCTTGGGGCTCGGGGCTGCGTGCGCTCGCGCCCTGATGCCATCTTGCGGCCAGAATAGCTCGCCCCGTCCCCACACGCTGCCTGTCTTGTTATGATAATATATTACAACCCTCCACAGGTCAGAACTCTTGTAGTGGCTATTTATAGGTTAGCTTTCTTCCCCACCACAGGGAGAGGTCTTCCCCACCACAGGGAGAGGTCTTCCCCACCACAGGGAGAGGTCTTCCCCACCACAGGGAGAGGTCTTCCCCACCACAGGGAGAGGTCTTCCCCACCACAGGGAGAGGTCTTCCCCGCCACAGGGAGAGGTCTTCCCCACCACAGGGAGAGGTCTTCCTCACCACAGGGAGAGGTCTTCCCCACCACAGGGAGAGGTCTTCCCCACCACAGGGAGAGGTCTTCCCCGCCACAGGGAGAGGTCTTCCCCACCACAGGGAGAGGTCTTCCCCACCACAGGGAGAGGTCTTCCCCGCCACAGGGAGAGGTCTTCCCCACCACAGGGAGAGGTCTTCCCCACCACAGGGAGAGGTCTTCCCCACCACAGGGAGAGGTCTTCCCCACCACAGGGAGAGGTCTTCCCCACCACAGGGAGAGGTCTTCCCCACCACAGGGAGAGGTCTTCCCCACCACAGGGAGAGGTCTTCTCCACCACAGGGAGAGGTCTTCCCCACCACAGGGAGAGGTCTTCCCCACCACAGGGAGAGGTCTTCCCCACCACAGGGAGAGGTCTTCCCCACCACAGGGAGAGGTCTTCCCCACCACAGGGAGAGGTCTTCCCCACCACAGGGAGAGGTCTTCCCCACCACAGGGAGAGGTCTTCTCCACCACAGGGAGAGGTCTTCCCCACCACAGGGAGAGGTCTTCCCCACCACAGGGAGAGGTCTTCTCCACCACAGGGAGAGGTCTTCCCCACCACAGGGAGAGGTCTTCCCCACCACAGGGAGAGGTCTTCCCCACCACAGGGAGAGGTCTTCCCCACCATATACATTATCATCTTAAACTTTACCTTTTCTCTCGAAATATTTTTTATTTTGAGTAAATTATTACATCTTAAAGTTCAGTCCCTTTAATCTTTCTGTAATAAATTACTGTAACACATGAAAATGTGTTTAGGAATCTTTGTTAATTTATTACAGAATATGAACACGTGAATGACGACTCTCCTCGCTGTACCAGCAGGACGACCATGACGACTCTCCTCACTGTACCAGCAGGACGACCATGACGACTCTCCTCGCTGTACCAGCAGGACGACCATGACGACTCTCCTCGCTGTACCAGCAGGACGACCATGACGACTCTCCTCACTGTGCCAGCAGGACGACCATGACGACTCTCCTCGCTGTACCAGCAGGACGACCATGACGACTCTCCTCACTGTACCAGCAGGACGACCATGACGACTCTCCTCGCTGTACCAGCAGGACGACCATGACGACTCTCCTCGCTGTACCAGCAGGACGACCATGACGACTCTCCTCGCTGTACCAGCAGGACGACCATGACGACTCTCCTCGCTGTGCCAGCAGGACGACCATCACGACTCTCCTCACTGTGCCAGCAGGACGACCATGACGACTCTCCTCGCTGTGCCAGCAGGACGACCATGACGACTCTCCTCACTGTGCCAGCAGGACGACCATCACGACTCTCCTCATTGGGCCAGCAGGACGACCATGACGACTCTCCTCGCTGTGCCAGCAGGACGACCATCACGACTCTCCTCACTGTGCCAGCAGGACGACCATGACGACTCTCCTCGCTGTGCCAGCAGGACGACCATGACGACTCTCCTCACTGTGCCAGCAGGACGACCATCACGACTCTCCTCGCTGTGCCAGCAGGACGACCATGACGACTCTCCTCGCTGTGCCAGCAGGACGACCATCACGACTCTCCTCACTGTGCCAGCAGGACGACCATGACGACTCTCCTCGCTGTGCCAGCAGGACGACCATGACGACTCTCCTCGCTGTGCCAGCAGGACGACCATCACGACTCTCCTCACTGTGCCAGCAGGACGACCATGACGACTCTCCTCGCTGTGCCAGCAGGACGACCATCACGACTCTCCTCACTGTGCCAGCAGGACGACCATGACGACTCTCCTCGCTGTGCCAGCAGGACGACCATGACGACTCTCCTCGCTGTACCAGCAGGACGACCATGACGACTCTCCTCGCTGTGCCAGCAGGACGACCATGACGACTCTCCTCACTCCTCAGCAGGACGACCATGACGACTCTCCTCACTCCTCAGCAGGACGACCATGAGGTTTATTCAATTTAATAATATTTGCGATTTATATTTGTATTAGCAAGCTTAGTAGCAGCACACAGCAATGTGCTGCTATGGTGTGCACAGTAAACTACCGCTCACAGGATGAGTATGGGGTGCACAATAAACTACCGCTCACAGGATGAGTATGGGGTGCACAGTAAACTACCGCTCACAGGATGAGTATGGGGTGCACAGTAAACTACCGCTCACAGGATGAGTATGGGGTGCACAATAAACTACCGCTCACAGGATGAGTATGGGGTGCACAGTAAACTACCGCTCACAGGATGAGTATGGGGTGCACAATAAACTACCGCTCACAGGATGAGTATGGGGTGCACAATAAACTACCGCTCACAGGATGAGTATGGGGTGCACAGTAAACTACCGCTCACAGGATGAGTATGGGGTGGTTATCTTGAGGTTATCTTGAGATGATTTCGGGGCTTTTTAGTGTCCCCGCGGCCCGGTCCTCGACCAGGCCTCCACCCCCAGGAAGCAGCCCGTGACAGCTGACTAACTCCCAGGTACCTATTTACTGCTAGGTAACAGGGGCATTCAGGGTGAAAGAAACTTTGCCCATTTGTTTCTGCCTCGTGCGGGAATCGAACCCGCGCCACAGAATTACGAGTCCTGCGCGCTATCCACCAGGCTACGAGGCCCTGGTGGTGGTTTATTGGTGCACAATAAACTACCGCTCACAGGATGAGTATGGGGTGCACAATAAACTACCGCTCACAGGATGAGTATGGGGTGCACAATAAACTACCGCTCACAGGATGAGTATGGGGTGCACAATAAACTACCGCTCACAGGATGAGTATGGGGTGCACAATAAACTACCGCTCACAGGATGAGTATGGGGTGCACAATAAGCTACCACTCACAGGATGAGCATGGTGTGCACAGTAAACTACCGCTCACAGGATGAGTATGGGGTGCACAGTAAACTACCGCGCGTTGAATCTCCCCCACTCGCCAGGGGTGTATAAGGCCAGCCCTTGGCCGACTGTGGGAGCCCCGGGGCGGACAGTGGCGCCAGGAACTGAGGGGCTAAGACCCGTGGGAGCAACCCTGACCACAGGTTGGAAGGGGGTGAACCCCGACAGTGGCGACCTTGCCAGGATACATCGAACAACAGTGGACAAAGGATTGCAAGTGTATTAAGGTCGATATTGGTCTCGGTTTACACTGCTCGCTAGTGTATTCCCTGTATACGGTTACTCAATAGCCTAGAGATGGAGGATGACAGAGTAAAGAAGTTTATTGAGTCGAGGGACGAGCAGGAGTTGGAAGAGTGCACCAAGGCTCAGCTGCAGCTAGTGGCGGACCATTTTGGGTTGAGATTGAGGTCCTCCAGGGTGACGGAGCGTCGGAGTGAGATCATGGCTCAGCTCAAGGCCCAAGAGGAGGCTTCCAGGGAAGGACCACCCCAAGTACCTGCCAGTGTTGGTGGGAACCAAAGCGACGAAGGCAGCAGTAGGGGATACAGCGGTGGTAGCAGGAGAAGCATGAAGCTGGAGATAATGAAAATGCAGGAAAACCTTCCAACCTACCAACCTTTGACCCTCAAGAGGCCGAAGCTTTCTTCGACCATTTTGAGAGGATAGCAATATTGAAGGAATGACAGGAAGAGGATTGGGCTGCGTTAGTGCAGAGTAGGTTGACTGGCGAGGCCAGGGAAGCTTATAACATGTTGGACCTTGATGAATGCACCATTTACGACATGATCAAGAAAGCTGTGCTCCAATCGTATCGACTAACCCCGGAGGTTTACAGGAAACGCTTCCGTGAGTGCACAAGAGCTTCTGGAAGGTCGTATGCTGAAACTGCTCGGGACATGGAGCGCAGGTTCCTGCGGTGGCTGAAGGCTGAAGAGGTGGAGACGATGGAGGAGCTGAAGCAGTTGATGGTGATGGAAAGATTCATGTCAATACTCCATCCAAAGCTAAGGGTCAGGATCAAGGAGGCTGGTATTAGAGAACTTAAGGCTGCTGCAGACAGAGCCGACCTGCTGGAAGAGGCACTACATCTCGAAAAGGAGGAACCGCCTAGGCACTCGCCTTACCCAAGGTTCGGGGGAAACGTCAAGAGTTCAAGAGGAGCGAAGACGGGCGGAGACTCTCCCAAGAGTAGTTTACACAGCGAAGTGAGTCGGTCCAAGAGTTCAGGGGAACCGGTGAGGAGACCCCAAGGGGGGAACGCCGGGATTGGTTCTGGAGTGAGGAATGCTGCCAGGGAGACAACAACCGGGAGCGCGAGGAAGACCCAGGGGACGGCGGTTTCCGGGAGCGTTGCCCGAGTGACAGGTGGAGAGTCGCCTCCCAGGAGAGTCAGGTGTTTTAATTGTGACGGGCACTTACATTTCGCACGTGAGTGTGGTCGCCCCAGGCAATGCGGAATTGTGGCACAGGTTAGAATGGACGACTAAGGAGCCAAGAATGTGTTGAGTGGATCTCCACTAGAAAGGGAGTAAAAGATCCATCCTTTTATTTGTGAAGGTACTGTGTTACGGTGCCCTTTCCTATTTCTTTCGTTTGCCTGCTTTAAGAGTCATATCAGCTCTCCCTACTGATTCTCTGAGGTTCAGGGAGTCTATTGATATATGTGGCGACCAGACCGGCTGCCAGTTAAGGGAGAAAGTTACATTATAAGTTGTAAGTAAGGGGAAATTGGCGCCCTGATATAAAATGAAAGAGTATCCCCTACTACAGATATGACGTTTTGGAAGGGACACTAGCCGATCGCGGATTGGCCGACTTAGGTCGCGGGCGACCAATCAGGGCCCGCCATGACGTCACCAAGTGCCCCGGGCGGCGCCAACGTCAGAGTTGACCTGACCGTGAAGGCGAGAGGACGCACCTCGGTCAGCTCTCAAGGATTTGAGGCTCTACAAGCCTTTCTTAGTGGATTAGAGCTGGCTATCGCAGCCCATCTTATGTATTGGAGACCCCGCGCTTCTGGGAAGCAAAAAGGAACCAAGTTTATTGAGCAAAAGAGTGCCAAACTTGGAAAATATTCGGCGACGACGCTGGACGTTGAGGGCCTGGAAAGGTGTGGCGGGCAGGCCTAGCTGTGACCGGGTCACGTCCACTGAGGGTTTTGGAAGGACGGCACCGTTCCTAGGACAAGGAGCAACGCCTTGTGGAAGGGACGAGTGTGGGAAAATAGTGATTAGCTCAGTGCCCATCGATGAACCAGGATTGGGGTAGCTGAATCTCAGGGATTGGAACGGCGACGACGCGAAGGCTCCACGACACCTGAGGACCTGTGGAACGTTCCTGGATCGTCAAGGATCGACTCAGGAAGCGTGGGAACCTCACACCATCGAGGGACAGGCGTCCTGAGCCAGGAATGTAAGGTAGATCATTTTCCCTCCCATTACCCCTTGTGTGAGTAGGCTAGTTAGGCCACAATATTTACTTATATATGTGGCAATAGGACATTAATACTTTAGTAGTAGAATAGGCTGCAAGGCAGCTTGTGTCCAGGACTGTCAGAGGGGACAGTCTGTGTGGATGGCAGGACAGTGAAGAAGAGGCGCCGACGTGGTGAAGAGGCCCTCCTGTGAGAGAGTGTGGGACTCCTGTCTTTCTGCCCAGTTGAAGGAGTGTTGGAGGTCGTGGAAGAAGAGGCTGACGATCTCCAGACTTATCCTTATTTTCATATTCATGTATTACTTGTGATTGTATGTGTGATCATGTAATTTGCATCAGTAAATTCACACTTTTATCATTGTGTTTAAGTGTGCCTCCATTATAATATTTCTCTATGAGCATACACAAAGGTTATTATAGTACCACCTAGGGAACACTACGTTCTCTATAGAGGTCCTTATTGCCTGGAGAGTGGTAAAAACAGCACAGACTCATAAAAGTGTACCCTTAGCCATCCGATCAGTATCAGTGCCTAAATGGTGGCAACTAGTAACGTAGTGGCTAGAGAGAGGTAAAGCCACACAGACCTTCCTGGGAGAGTACCCTGGGCCGACAGTCCAATAGCAGATCTATGGGAGTAGCAACCTTCTGGCACAAACAATATATAATACACCCACTGAACTGCATCGCTGGGGTGCAGATATAA